ATATCTTTAAACTCGTACCTTAGACAATATTATTGTTGTATTTCATTGCATGAATACTGATTTACTCAAAGCAGTAATACGAAAGAACATGAAACTATCATCTGCGAGAGACTTGCCTACAAACCTTACGAGTAGAAAAAACTGTAATCGCTAAATTGTCTTAAATGTGGAATTTTGGCATTGACATGTTATGTTATTGGCATTGTTGTTAGCAAAAGAATGGAATTTCCTGCGCATCTGCAGAAAATAGAGCTGTAGTAACTCGCCTAACGACACCAACGTGCTGAAGTTGAAGCTTTTTTGGAATTTGGCTGGATATTAGCAAAAAGATTTGTCGAGATTTCTCAAAATTGCTTCCATTCGATCAACTGAACTCAAGACAAGAAAATTCAATTTTGATGAAACTGGCGACTTAAAGGGAATCTGCCTCCAGGAGTTGAAAAAACTCGATTAGGTGACTGCGACCGATTCCTTACTCGTACCTTCAGTACGGATTGCGTTATACATGTATTTAGTGATGCTTCTCATAAGGGGTTTGGGATGTGTTTAATGCAGAATGGGAAAGCAATTTGCCTATGTTCCCGACAACGAGAACGCGATGAAAGAACTACCCGACCATTGATCTAGAGAATTTGCTGCCAAGTAGTATTTGCACTAAACAGCTGGCGCTCATATTGTACGGGTGACATGTGAAGTATAACACCGACTACAAAGAAGTATGAAATAATTTCTTCACACAGAAGCAACTGAACATTGATATGAGACAGCGGAGATGGCTAGAACTGATAAAGGACTATGACCTACAGATTTTGTACCATCCGGGAAAAGCCAACACCGTCGCCGATGCACTGAGCCGGAAATCAATTGGAAATTTAGCCTGTTTGCTTACCGGGCAAAAGGAATTTCTTTGTGACCTTGAAAACTCTGAAATTGAAATCATTTTGCGATAACAAGGTGGAACCTTAGCTGCTATTTCTGCTCAGCCGGCACTGATTGAAAAGATTAAAGCGAAACAACAACTGGATGACTTTTTGAAGAAGGTCATCAAAGAAAGGGAATCTAAACCAAGACCGGGATTCAAATTTGAGAATAATGTACTGAAATTTCAAGAAAGACTGTGTGTACTAAATGATACTGAACTGAAAAGAAGAGTTCTGCAAGAGGGCCACAACTCAAGATTTTCTATCCATCCGGGGAATATGAAAATGTACCAAGACCTGAAACTGAATTTCTGGTGGCCGGGAATGAAGAAAGAAATTGCTGATTTTGTATCGAAATATCTTCATTGCCAACAAGTTAAAGCCGAACATCAATGACCCGTAGGCTTATTGCAGCCCTTACCGATAGCGGAGTGGAAATAGGAGCATATCACCATGGATTTTATAGTGGGATTGCCTCGCTCCAGTAAAGGTATGGACTCGATTTGGGTTATTGTTGATAGACTGACTAAATCTGCTCAGTTCTTAACTGTTAAGACAATTTATAATACGGACAAATTGGCTATACTCCACATAAACGAAATTGTTAGACTACATGGAGTACCTGTGTCCATTGTTTCTGACAGGGATTCGAAGTTTACATCGAGATTTTGGCAAAGCCTACAGACTGCATTGGGTACTGAACTGAGACTGAGTAGTGCCTATCATCCTCAGACAGATGGCCAATCAGAAAGGACCATCCAGACTCTAGAGGATTTACTGAGAATGTGTATCCTTGATTTTCAGGGAAACTGAGAAAGTCATTTGCCCTTAGCTGAATTTGCTTACAACAACAGCTACCACTCGAGTATTGGCATGGCGCCTTTCGAGGCACTGTATGGCAGAAAATGTAGATCTCCGATTTGCTGGGAAGAAGTTGGAGACGGGCCTTTGCTTGGGCCCGAGATTGTATATGAAACAACCGAAAAAGTGAAACTGATACAACAGAGATTGAAAACTGCACAGAGCAGACAGAAGAGTTATGCTGATGTCAGAAGACGAGACAGAGAGTATGAAGTGGGTGATCACGTATTTGTGAAAGTGACACCGATGAAAGGCCAGACTCGTTTTGGATTCAAAGGCAAGTTAGCACCGAGATTCGTCGGACCATATGAGATTATTGAGAAAATCAATCCGGTGGCGTATCAAGTTGCACTTCTTCCTGAAATGGAGCATATGCATAACGTCTTCCACATTTCTATGTTGGGAGACTACCTCTGGGATCCTTTCCATGTAATAGAGCCTACTCGTGTAGTGCTAAGTGATGACTACACTTACGAGGAACGGCCTAAACAGATTGTAAACAGACGGATCAAGAAACTGAGAAACAAAGAAATCCCGCTGGTAAAAGTCGACTGGCAAAACCATGGTGGCGTGTATGCCACTTGGGAAAGGGAAGATGACATGGCTAAAAGATATCTTGAACTATTTCCACTGAATCCTGTTTTCTTCTAGAACGAAGGTAACCCGAGTTTAAAGGACTAAACTCTTTATAAGAAGGGGAGACTGTAATAACCCTCACCACTGCTTACCTCTAAACATTGATTACCGTTAAACTGAACTGATTATGACTGATAATTGAACTGGTTAAAGTACTGAACTGACTGACTGAAAACTAGAACTGAATTGGCTGAGTATGTATGTTAATTTGTATTCTATCTGTTTGATTGTTTATTTGATCTGTTCATGTTTTATGTTTAAACTGCTAATTGAAGGCCTTATCGGCGGCCGAACCGGGAATTGATTGATGTTTTATGATCCTCATAATTAATGTGATTTTATGGTGTATTTATCTGAAAACTGATTAGGTATGATTAGATTAGATTAAATATTGATCAATTGCTTAAGTTGGCCTATTTACCGAACTAGCCTTAGTGGGCCACTATCTCACACATATTTTAGCCTTACACATTCATCAGCCATCTCTCTTGAGTGTATAGCCGACCATGAGAGGGAGAGAGTGAGAGAAATTGGATTCTATCTTGAATTGCTTGGAACTTGAAGAATTGCTTGGTACTTGAGGTGTAGATTGTTAATTTGAGCTCCTAAATCTTGAATACAAGACTAAGGTAGGAAACTCATCTTCTTATTGTTGCCATTGAGCTAGTTCTTGCATGATTCATGCTTCATTGTAGAACTAAGTCATGTTTTGGTTCATTGTTGTTGAATTGAAGCTCAATCCTTGCATGCATGGTTGTATTGTAGTGTTTTCATGGCAAAATGTTACATGCATGTTCACAATTATGTTTAAGTCCATGATTTCATCATGTTTTGGAAACAATTGGCTCCTTAGAGCATCAAATTGAGGCTTTGAATTGATTTGAATTCATGCATGTTCGCATGTTCTCCATGTTCACGAAATTGGTTTGAAATTGGGTTTGAATCAAACACCCTTGGGCTTTGATTTCTCAAATTGAGTTTTGAATCATGTTTAACTATGTGTTTACAAATGTTTTATGGAAATTCAGCCCAGGAGGTCGAGTTTTGAGTTGTTAAAACTTGGTTTTTGGCTTGGAGGTGCAATCTGGGTTTTCCAGATTCTGCACTTCCGCTCGAGCGGAGGATTGTGACACTCGAGCGTGGAATTCGAGCATCCAGTATGTCTGCACCGTTTTACAGTCCGCTCGAGCAGAGGATAGGGCGCTCGAGCGAAGTCATGTGTCTCACGCTCAAGCGGGCGTAGAGCGTCCGTCGAGCGGAGATTTCACCCGTCCAGCACTTTTGACTGTTTTTGCGTAACGCTCGAGCGGGTAATTCTACGCTCGAGCGGGTACCTTTGTCTACATGTTCGCTCGAGCGGAGTGACCTACGCTCGAGTGTGACCCCTGTTTTCTGAAAAATCTGAAGTTGCTTTTTGAGTACATCTTTGCATCCTCATCCCATTCTAGGCATTCTTAGGCCTAACTTAAGACATCTTATTGAGGGCATAGATGTAGAACACACCGAGGCAAGTTAGGGGTTAAGTTATTATCTTTCCCAGCTGTGTAGCTTAGTGTGTTCAATCTGTTAACTGTGTAGGGTTGGCGACTGGGGAGGCACGCTCTAGCATACTGTAGCCCGAACTCTGTGAGTAACGATTGTGTAAAGATATGTTCACAAATGATTATCTCCTGAACAACTGAACTATACTGTTTTCTGAACTGATTACTGTTAACTGAATGAATGTATGTCCTATATTCCGAACTGTATTGTGGCATTCTTTGCACCTACTGTTTACTGTTACTGTGACAGAAATCTCTGTCGGTTCCCTTGTTGAAACCACTACTGTTTACTGACTGATGGCCATCATTACTGCTCGGTCTTTTAAGACCTACTGTTTACTGTACTGTTATGCTAATGGATGTACCACATATGACTGTACTGACTGAATGACTGAAATACTGATTTAATGAACTGTTTTCATTACTGTAAGGACATTCATTCTTAACCTCTTTACGCATTATGTTATTCCCTGGGCTTTAGCTCACTGCTCATATATATATATATGTAGGTGTACAGGCACCAGACCGCGGCTAGGAGCGTCAGGGTTACTCCAGTTTTGTCAAGCCAACTACCGTGCCTCACTGCGAGGTTCCGAGCCTATATTGCTAAGGCTTAGGGGTGTTTTAGGACTCCCCCTTATGTACTGTCTTACTGTTTTGTAATTACCGAATGGATTGTATAGACTGAATGCTTACTGTACTGTTGTATAGGGATTGAGTCCCTATTCTGAATGATTGTATATATTGTATATACCTTTCAACTGAATGTATATATGTTTGAAAAATCTTTTTGCATACAGACTGTCACAGCTCATTGGGCATTGTTTAATTACTGTATTGGCTTCCGCCAGGCCCTGTACTCTGTTTTACTGTTCTACTGTTAAGCAGGCCTTCGGTAATCTCGGATTACTGGCCGGTTACGGTGCGAAACCCATAGGGCCGGGTTTGGGTCGTGACAAAGACAAATCATGGTAGAGGTAAGAAGATCTCTCGTAAGGTCCATCGATACTTCTCATTAACACCGAGATTGAAAAGGTTGTACATGTCGAGAAAGAGAGCTGAGGATATGAAATGGTTCACTGAAAAACGTCTAGATGACGGTGTATTGAGGCATCCTGCAGATAGTGATGAGTGGAAGGAATTCGATTCACAACATCCCAAATTCGCCTTGGAGCCTGGGAATATGAGGCCAGGGTTGGCTACTGATGGGTTCAACCCTTTCGAAAATATGAATAACTCATATAGTTTGTGACCTGTCGTACTCATTCCGTACAACTTGCCACCGTGGTTGGCTATGAAGGACCCATTTTTCATGCTGGCATTACTTATTCCTGGTGAATCATAACCAGGAATTGATATTGATGTCTACATGAGACCTTTTGTAGATGAATTGAATGAATTATGGACAACTGGTACATTATCCTATGATGCCTCGACTGGTGAGACTTTCTGTATGCGTTCAGCTTTGTTGAGGACGATACATGATTGGCCTGCATTTAGTGACATGTCTGGATGGAGGACAAAGGGTCATTACTCTTGTTACACTTGCAATGATGAACCATATTTTGAATCTTTAAGAAGTAATACTACATACAATAGCCATCGATGCTACTTGCCTGATGACCACCCAGAAAGGCAAAAGAGTAGAGCATATAATGGCAAGCATGAAAAATGGAAGAGATCTTTGGTGATACCGATAGAAAAGATTGAAGAACAATTAGGCAGCGTGACAGGTGTCACATATGGAAAACATCCAAGCAACATGAAAAGACCTCGTCAGAACCCAAATTGGACAAAGGTAAGCATCTTGTATGAGCTACCGTATTGGAAGAAAAAGAGGCTTCGACACAACATTGATGTCATGCACATGGAGAAGAACTTTAGTGAAAATGTTATTAGAACTATGTTGGGAATTGATGGGAAGAACAAGGATACAGATAAGGCACGAATGGATTTAGAAGATATGAATATAAGGAAAGAATTGTGGCTGATAAAAAATCCCGATGGATCATATGTCAAACCTCGAGCCTGCTTCTCACTGACCCCTAAAGAGAGAGAGGGTTTCTTTGAATTCTTGAAATCAATCAAGTATCCAGATGGGTATGCGGCAAACATTTCGAGATCAGTGAATGCAAAAAATGGTAAATTAACAGGATTGAAAAGCTACGACTGCCGTGTACTTATACAACGGATTCTTCCTATTGGGATGCGTGGTTACATAGAAAAAGAGATCAGTACAACACTTTTTGAGTTAGGTAGCCTTTTCCAAGATCTATGCTCAAGGACACTCAAACGAAGTGAAATGGAGAAATTAGAGGAATGCATAGTACTCATACTATGTAAGTTTGAAAAGATATTTCCTCCAGCCTTCTTCAATGTGATGGTTCATTTGGCCATTCACTTGCCACGTGAGATTATTCTCGGAGGACCTGTGCAATATCGGTGGATGTACCCGATTGAAAGGTAATTTCTAAATTGTAGTTTCAAATGAAAGGTGTAGATTATGTTGTGTGTCTAACCAATATCCTAATTGGTTAACTGCTCAAGGTTTCTCGGAGCTTTAAAAAAGTGTGTCAACAACCAAGCTCGACCAGAAGGTTCTATTGCAAAGGCTTACATTGTCAATGAGTGCATTACTTTTTGCTCAATGTATCTTGAAGGGATTGAAACCGTGCGTAATCGAGATGCACGAAATGAAGATTATGGAGTCCGGCGTCAAGGTTTGACAATATTCACCGAAACTGCTCGTCCTATCGGCCAAATTAGAAAGCATGTTGAGATGTCACAGGAACTTCGTGATATTTCTCATTGGTTCTTATTATACAATAACCCTGAGATAGAGAAGTATCTTCAGTATGTGTTTCTTATAATTATATATATTTTAACAGTTTTCATGTCATTAGACATTAATAATAGTAGTATTTCACTCATTAACCAAAACTATTTGAGTAGGGAACAAAAGAATTTGTTACAAATTTCCACTGGACAAGATATAACTCAGATACAACAGAAAGAATTTCCGAAGTGGTTCAAAGAATATGTAAGTCATTTTTAATATTCACAACTACCCAAACACTATTAGGCTTGTATAAAATACAAACATTACTAACATAATTCAAGTGTTGCACATTGCATATGGATGTAGATAAATAGATTGAGAGTTGATGAGGCACCAGAAGGAACCGAAGAATTGTGTTCATTAGCAAATGGTCCTAATTTGCTAGTGAAAGAGTACTCAGGTTGTATAATCAATGGTGTAAGATTCCATACGAAGGAATTAGACAATCGTTGTAAGAGTCAAAATAGTGGTGTGCTTACCAAAGGAGACAACAAGGGAGAGATGCATGAATTCTATGGTCACTTGTGCAATATTTGGGAATTTGAGTACATGTGTCAAAATAAAGTTGTTTCAATCTGAATGGTACAACACCGGTAACACTGGTAGAAGTAGAACAGTACGAGCTGACACATATTGCACAAGCATTGATGTCACAAGCCAATGGTATCAATCTGACCCTTTTATCTTGCCAAGTCAAGCTAAACTAGTGTTCTACCTGAATGACACCAAATGGGGGCAACCTTGGCAAGTCGTGCAACAGGTCCAACATAGGGGTGTGTTTGATGTACCAGAGGTTGGTGATGGAGAACCACCGGATCAACCAGAATTTAATGATGCATTCTAACAAGAAAACATTAACTCAGTTGTCCCGATCAACATTGAAGATAATATTTGATTTCATAGGGATGATATTGAAGCTGAGGTTATTCCGAATAAAACAAAGAGAGATGGTAGAGATGATGAAGAAGATGAAGAACTTGGCATACTTGATGATGATATGGAACCTGATATGGATTATGATATTTAGTTTTTGTTTTTTTCAGGTTTTTATATGGACATATGTTTTCAATGCATTACATAGTTATGCTATATTTTATTGTGTCTCTTCAAGTAAATATTCTACTTTATATTTTATGTTTTATATCAATTTATGCTTTTTAGTTACCAAAATGGCCAAAGGGGAGAAACAATGGATCAAACCAGGCTTTCTAGCAAAACAAAAACGAACACAGTATGAAATGGAAAGATATAAGATAATCAAGAAGAATAAAAAGAAAATGGATGCTCCACAATTGAAGCGTTTAGCAACTTCTTTGATGGGTTCTACTCAGCTCAATCGTGTTAATCAGAAGGGAAAGAACATTAGGGTTGAGGTAGATGATGATGACTACATACCGTCAGATCATGAAGATGACACTGATGATGCTGAGTCCTTTGAAAGTGTTGACGATGAGGTACTATATGTATGTCCATTCATTTTTGTTATCATGTCTCATAGCTATATATCCGTTAATGATGCTTTGTTAATACCATCTTTATATTTCCATATACTTTTTTGGGTGATTAAGTCATAAAATAAAACTAGAAAATATACATCCTACATACAACCTCCACAACATCAACTTTAGTGTTCAAACTAGGAATATACAAAACAATCCCAAAAAGTAACCTCACATCACTAGGCCCTCAACAACAAATTCCCTAACAAGGCACCAGCACAGATAGAAACCTACAAAATCAACCAGTTAGGAAAAATGTGGTACTGTAATTTCACTCAACCCACCACTCATCACCACTCCCTCAATCTATTTATATTCTCAAAGATACTCAACCCACTTTCCCTAAGAAGAGGCTAGATTGACAACCTGCAAACCACAAATTTACTCTCACCTACATTTAGAATCAAAAACGAGTTTAGGTCACATTTTTTTTTTCCCCTTCTTGGAATGACGCCCTGAATTTTTATAAACAAAGCACCACTCTATCATGTACGATGCATTTTGAGCTACGCTACCTATGATATGATGATATAGTTTGCAATAGAAGACAATAATTAGGGGTTTCAAGGTTGAGGGCAGCCAGTACATGCAAACAAAAGGTTAAATCTATTCTCACTCCACACCTCCTACAACCCTACACTAGTTGGGAAACACTGGGTAATGATATTTTTTTTTTTAAAAAAAAAGAGAAGAAAACACTGGGTAATGATCTTTTCTTGTAGATATTTTATCACCCTAACCATGCAGCTACGAATCATGTTAAGTTTACCAAATCATAACAAGAAACTTTACCGGATTCTAACTTTAAAGGAAAATAGACTTGCAACTTTTTTGTGCAAGTCTCCACAATGCACGCTATGCATTGAGTGGCAAGGAAACAGAAGTGTGACTTTATTTATTATGGATTAGCGATATAGGCATATTCCTTTAACTGGGTTTGTTATTGGTATTTTAATTTTGGGTGCTTGTATAATTTTTGTAATGTTTAAGAACATTTGAAGAGTCCAAATCTTATGAAGTTTCCAAACTGTAGTTGTCCTGGCTGTATCTAATGCTTTTTTATTTAGATATGGAGATATATCTTTTGCTCTTTAATTGATAACTCTCAGGTTTTGGTATGATTACTAGTAAATTCTTCCTTCTAGTCTATTGGCATCTTTTGTCTACTTTGAAATGCTTTCTGGTATGTGGATGGCTTTATTATTGTTCTTCTAGTCACCCACATCAAGTAGTTGTAAGTATCTTATTTATTTATTTTTCTCCTGTTTGTTAATGCCTTTTTCTACCCCAAATTAGTGTTTTTGTTTTTTTAAACCTTGGAATTGTTTTTATTTTAAATATCTGCTTTCCTTTAATTATTTCACCATGTGTTCATGATTGTTAAGTGATGTATTTGCTATAAATTTAAATTGAACTATTGATATAGTCTACGTTTTCACACCTAATTACACAAAAATATTCTACTACTAAAATTTTCACAACAATAGCAATATTCAATGGACAAGAAGGTTAAAGCTGAGTTTACTACTACTACTATGTTTTCGATTGCTTAACTAACTGCAAAAAATTTAAAATTGATACGCACAAAAAGGTTAGAATTATCAACTACAGTGAGTTTAGAATTGTATTACTAGCTAATATTTTGTTATGCTTTTGTATATGTTTTTTGTTCCTAATGTGAGTTCGGTAACATTTGCCTAGATGTGGGTATCCCAATTCTTTTAGCTATTCTTTAACAATACATCAAGGGATAACTTTCTGTCATTAGATATTTGCCTTAATTATGGATGAATTGACTCAACACATTTAGGATGATGTTGCATGGTGTATGTAGTTCGTAGATTATTGTTCTAGTGGATGAAACTAATTGAGGAATCAACCTTAAAATAGAAATCTGCAGAGAAGCAGATTTTATAGAGAATAAACCAGTAGGAGAAGGAATCCAAATAAGTTTATCAAGACCAGTCTTGGGAAGAAAAGGAGTTGACTGGATCAGATTGCAAATATCAACAGTGGCCTCGATAAGTTTCCATATACATATCTTTACTTATCCATTCTTATGTATTTATTGTTTATGCTTTTGTATTATGTTTTTTAGGGCTTACCAATTCCACCAAAAAGATTGGTGTAGTCATCTCCTCAACCTTCGCACGAGGCAATTGTTGTTCCGAATGGGGATTTACATGACAATGTGGAGACCCAACAGTCACAACCACTTGATGTCGATATAGAGGCACCGAGGGAGGAAACCCCATAATCTAGTGTCGGTAAGATGCTGAATTTTACTATTAAAATGAAATCCTCTGTTTTAATATAATTCTATGGTGCAAAAGAACAGACTCTAATGAATGTTCTAGACCTTGAGTGCCTAACAGTTAAAGAAAACTTGACTGCCTTACTGAAAATAGAGTTTTACTATAATAAATTCCAGAGAAAGTTTATCTGTAACTTAAGTTACAGAGAAAGTTTTCAGTAAAAAAGTTTTACTGACCTTGAGTGCCTAACAGTTAATGAAAACTTTGTTCTCTGAAAACTTTCTTGGTGCAAAATTCCTTTATTACTGAAAACTTTTTCTGAAATTGAACTTTAAGATGAACAAAAGGACAAACTCTAATGAATGTTCATTTCTCAGCTCTGAGCTAGACACACACACACACACATAACAGTTAAAGAAAGAGAAGAGTAACTAACTAATAACCAACATCTGGAACCAAGAGACATGTAAAGGCTTGGTAAATATATCAGCAACTTGGTCGAAAGAAGCAACATAAGAAACCACAATCCGTTTTGTGCAAACAAGAAAATTCAGGATTATGAGAAGAACAAAGAAGCTGAAGATGTAGAGGTAAGAAAGAGTGAAGAAACAAGAAAGTGAAAGAGCAAATATAACTGTGAGAAAGAGAAAACAACTTGAGAAAGGAAAAGCATCAACTTGAGAGTAGGGAACAAAGCTGTAGCTGTATCTGTGTGGCTACTGGTAGTGCTGTTTGTGCAAGGCACTTAATGGCATCAAATGTGTTCCAGTCACATCATCCCAATTTATACCTTCTGTTCCATGTATGAATCTCTAAATGCTTAGTTTAAAGCTAATGGCTAACCAATATTTGGACCTTTCCCAAAAACTGTAATGTTTATGGCCCACTTGTAGGTCAGTTTGAGGGGCAAGCGATCATCATAAATCATAGCAAGTTGCAGAAACTATCGTGTCTAGTCTGCAAATTAGTGCTCTTACTATGGTTGCTGTCATTTTAGAACTATATTGTTTTTTCTTTTCCTTTATTTTTCTTGTATTGTTTCATTCTTTTGTGAAGATAGGTCGGGTTCTAGCCAATGAAACGACAAACATGACATGGAACACCATTTAATCAACCATGAGCTGAACCATATTTCCCTTTTGATGTTTTGATTAGTTTATTCTGTTTCAAAGTTTCAGCTTCTATGCAATGTTAATTTTAAGGTATTTTTCACAACATGTGCAACGTTTTACCAACACCTTTTCCTTTGTTGTGGGTTGAAAGGAAAATGTGCTGAGTGGTCATTACAAAATAATTTGTTTTGGATTTGCTTCTGAAACCTCTTGAGTACAGGGTTTGAAGTAGTTACTGGAAAGCAATTGACTTTGATATAACAGAGACTTTGATATAATAGAGAACACAGAACGCAGTTTAATTTAGATAAGGGTGTAGTTACAGTAACATTAGATAAGGGTGTGCCATTACAGTAACACAGTTTACACAGAAAACACAGTTTACTTTAGCAATTGACTTTAAAGTAAGGATTAGTCCATCATGTTTATAGATACTCTTCATGTTTAGGGTGGATTTTTTGTGTTAATTCTTTTCCTTTGCATTTGTTAGCATCATCTTGATGCTTTTCGATTAATAATATTGTATTTTATTTATCCCCCCAAAAATGGTTGGCTGATATTATGTGTAGTTTGTTTTACGCTGTAATATATTGTTGAGAAATCTTCTTCTAGTTAGATTGGGGGAAGAATTTATGTCTCAAGCTATTATTCTTTCTCCTATTTACATTCTGTGAAATTTTCGTCTCTATGAGAAGAATCTGTATGAGCTTTGGAGGTTTACAATTTTTTGCCTTAGTGATCTGGTGCGTTACTTAAACCATAAATTTGTATGTTTTCTTTCTGTTTACGGGTTAGGGAACCAGTAGATGGGCATTTTCATTTTGGTTTTCCTTTTGCATTGTAAGACAAAAGAATTAAGATTTCATTTGCATATTGTTACTTCTTTGTACCTTGAGGCTTAACACTTTATATTTTTCACCTTTTTCATGAAATTTATGTTTTCAGTGCTCTTGGGTTATTGAATATAACAAGTTTATGTGATGTAATCTCTTGAGATATAATTGAAATGGACCCTAGATATGAAAAATGAAAGAGAATAGATTGACGTAGCTGAACAAAAACTACTTAGTTAAGGGTTTGTTGTGCGGTTGCTATAGTTTTAGAAATGTTGACTAGTTTTCACATTGCTCATTAATTTTATAAAATAGTTGGTAACTTTGT